AAAAGTTCAAGTATGTCATCAATGGTCTGTGTATGTTGAGAGAATGTTCATAAAAGGGCTTTTGAAAGAATTTTGTATGTGATTAGATTGGCTATAATTACAAGGAAAATTTCTCACGGGAAAAATGCTTTCTCTTCCCCCTATATGTCCTCTGCAGGGAGTACCAGGTCCCACAGGACAGTCTGTGAGGGTCCAAGTTCCATTCCCAACAGGGGATCTCAAACCTGTAAGGAAAAGTTAGGAAGTTTTTCTGTTGACCCCAGGAGGTCTATAAAAATATTTAAACAAATATTGTTATTTTTGATTTAACCTGGAAGGATATATGGGTCCTGCTTTCCCACTGTTGCTCCTTATACAAGAAAAGTAGGATTTGGGTGGCTGGATACACCTATGGGGAGCAACTTCACGCTCTAAGTCTTAAGGATGCCCCCCTGGAAACCTACAGTCCTGCAAGGAGATCTTAGATGGAATTATCAACTGGGACACGTGTAGGATCCCAATGGTGTGACCATATGTTAGTGTGTAATGTGGAGAGTATAAAAACTATCCAGGTGAAATCAGTCAATTTTTCCAAGCTAGCCGAGGTGGTTCAGGAAAAGGAAGAGAGGCCAGTAGCTTGAGAAAGAATTACTGAAGCTGTTAGGAAATTTACTAACATCCACCCCAGCTCAGCAGATGCAGTAATAGTAAGGTAAATACTCACTTTATTAACAATTCTTCTTCTAATATTTGTAGGAAACTCCAGAAGTTGCTGCTCGGACCCCAAACAGATACTACTCACCTGCTATCTGTGTCCTCCACTGTGTCCAACAATTAGGATTTAGAGGTAACAGACAGAGACGGCCAAAAGGCCAAATTGCTGGGAGCAGCTATTGCTGCAGAGGCTTACCTGGCTATTTTCAAGAGCTTGGGAAATGGTGATCAGGTCTGTTACCAGTGTGGAAAATCCAGTTCAGATAAAAGGCTACCTTCCTTCCTTCTTGCAGTTACTTCCATTTTGGGGGACTTTAACTATAATAATTCTTCTTGTTATGAACTCCATCTTGCTGGGAGCTTTCAACACGCTCCCTTTAAGGCAGGAAGCTCAGCTGAAAGAGTTCAGTAATAACTGCAAAACCCCAGCTTCCCCTTGTAAGGATTCCCTTACCAGGTGTTGGCTCTTGTCAAATTCAGCTTGTATTAAGGATTCTCCCTTCCCTACTGAAAGCCCCTCATAAAAGGTTTCCAAACCCTGCTTATAGGGGTTGAGAGACTTTGAGGCATGAGCCTGCTCTCAGCCCCGCCAATCAATAAAGGACCTTTGCTTAATTTGGACTCAGTGTGCTGGCGTTTCTCTATTCTACTCGCTTTGGGTTTATTCTAACGTTTGGATCGTGTCTTTTCAACCTCCTGGTTAAGTTTATGTCTTCTAGACTCCAACACTTCCATATGAAGCTTTTGTTATTCTAAGGATTCCATCCTATTCCCAAACAAGAACCTACTGGACCCATCCCTCCAATAACCCTTGAACCACTGGACCTTCCATCTGTGAAGGAAGGTCATATCTCCAAAGATTTGCAGACTCTATGTCACTCAGTGGGCAATGTTAGGTCTGGCAGAGGGTGAAGAGGTGGCAAGGAATGGCTAAGATTGGAGAGTGGGAACTGAACTGTAACTAGAAACCAGACTGCAGCTGGGATCCGCACTGTAGCTAGGAACTGTCCCCTGGATGCAGCATACACAGTAGGGAGCTCCCAGTGACCTTTACCTGACCTCATTACCATCTCATTGGCATTGCATGAGTAGAGCTGTCATGAAGGGTTCTGGGCAGACACACTTGTAGAAAGGGAAACTTATATAACTTAACCTGTTATGCAATCTGTTATATAACCCCAACCTGTCAGTCACTCCAAACGTTCCTCAAAGGGAAACAGCAATCAACCCTTCCAGGAGAAAGGTGGAACAAACTAGTGAGCAAATAAAATACAAAGTGTGTTCAGACTTAAGTCTTTGTCCACTCACTGGGAATAACCCCTCTCTGCCTCTGAGACATAATTTCACTTCGCAGTAAACACCCTGTGTGTGATTGCTTTGTAACTGTGATCACTCTGTCATTGGCTTGACTTGGTGCCAGTTCTCATTTTACACTGGGAACTGGGGGACCAAGGAACATCCAGACAGACCTACCAGTGCTGCTCAGTTTGGAAAGATTATTACAATCAACTTTATTAGCATGGAACTAAGTAAAGTGAGATAGTACATTTGATTATGATGGTTAGCGTGTATAGGAGCAGGTAATGCTCGTATAGAATCTAGAGCCTGCTGACCCCTAAATTATTCTTCCCTCTGGTAGAACGGGAACTGAGCCATAAAGTTGAGCCATGTGTTAGTCCCCATTTTAGACTCCACTTAGGAGATAAACATCTCTGTGTAGCTTGTTGACACCGGGAAGGAAGGGAAACAGTTTCTTTGCCACAACACTCTCAAGTGCCCTTAGAAAGGCAGGAAGAGAAATGGTCTTATGGATAAATGTCTGTATTTTGATGGATATGTGGAAAGACCATTGCAACATTACAGCAGCATTTTCTATGTGAGGTGGGAGACGTAAAGGTAGTAACCCCTAAGGCATGGTCCTGGGAAGGGAAAAATCTTTATTAGTGATGGGAAACCAATTAGAGACAATGGGGAGAAAGGCCTTAGGCTAGAGATCTAAATTTAGAGATCAGTCTAGCATAGCATTTATCTCACTGGTATTAACCCACTGACTGGATTGATCCCCCATTTTTATCTATTATATGTTCAGTATCAACACTCTAAATGCTTTTTTAATCTCAAAGGTTGCAGCACATGCCAATGAAGTTTGGTAAAAGCAATGCGTGTCTAGATCTTTGTATTACTATAAAGACTAAAAACAAGACTATTTAGAATGGCTCAAAAATTGACTGCAGGAGAATACTATTTCAAAATTTGGTTTATTGATGAAAAGTTGCATATAATTCTTTTAGACACTCATAAAGGGCATCAAGGGTGCATCAGCACATCCCCAGGACTGGTATTTATGGGATCTTATTTCCAACTATTTTATTACCAACTCAAGAGTAGGTTAATTTTGTTTTCTTTTTTAGAAGTATTTTTTTTATGAAGATGGCATCTTAAAAGTGTAAATTTTTTTTTTACAACATATGAATGCTAATGAATGCCAGTAGATTCGTCTACTAATCCTGACAAGCTGAGGTAGTATTACTCTACATTTTATGGAATAGACAAAAATTACTAGTATGCTTTATAATGAACACTTAAAACATTTTTTAGAGCCAAACAAGTCACATGTTAGTGATTCTAATGGAAGGAAAAGAAATTTCAAAATTATTTTCTACATTTTTAGTAAGTTTGAAATAGAATCTTACATAGTATGATTTTCATCTGATTTGATTTTTAGAGACTCTCAATATTAAAAAAACTGGTGTAAGAATTGCTAGTTGGTGGTTTTCATCATGAAAATCCCTTATAAGCAATTTATTACTTGGAGCACTTGTCATGCATTTTTGTCACATAAGAACAAAGAAATATGGTTGTGCACGCCTCATTCTGATGTCAGCATCTATATAGTAGAGTTTTTCAACTTTTTAGTGTAGAACAGTAGAATGTGTTTCTATTATTGGAACAGTTTTTAGATGTTTTTAAACAAACTTGTTAAGAAGAGAAACTATTATCAATTGCAATAAGACCTATTTTAGTCCCAGGGAATAGAGCCAGCCCATCTTTGGGAAGATGTCTTCCTTCTAAATTATCATTAATATAATTTGCAGAAATAAAAATTCCTAGGCCCTAAGTTCGACAGAGTGTGTAATCACACTACACCAATCTAGCTCAACTTGTATGTAACAAAGTTGTGACTCATTTTACAGTTGTCATGGACCCGCAGGTTGAGGGTCAGGTAAGCTTAGTGTGCCCAGTTGAATCGAGTGTGCAACCACAGGAGGAACATAAGTATTCACACAGAGGAGAGGGGGAATGAATTAAGAAGTGAACATGACAAGTCCTAGGATCCAGTCCGATGGAGCCCTGGTATCACCTCATGGCAGGATCCACTCTCCCAGCACCTCTGCAAAGCCAATCAGATCATGCCACCCTACACTTGTAGAACCTGACCAGTCTCAGCTTGGGGAGACAGATTTGCACATTTCCTCCAGTCTCTTAACCAGCTGACTCTCAGTAAAGATATTTACTCAAAACCCAGTGCCACAGTATTGGCTTCTGTGGACACTGGACAGTGAGCCCACTGAATTGCTCATTTGACACATACACAGGTTAGGGTCCCCTCCCCCAAATAAGCTGGTCTCTACTATGACTCATTACATATGAATCTTGCTTATCATTCCCAGCTACTCATTACTTACACACATAGCATATACTTAAATACGTGTACCAAATTATTGACCTTTATTCTATTTAAAATAAACTTGATGCCCAGTGAAAAGTGGATAAAAGCCCTGTAATAAAATCTTACCTTAAAATGTGTGTGGATATGTACAGTCAATTGTTTCTGAATACTGTACAAAATTCTTTTCTAGTTTAAAAATCTACAATGGTCACCTAGTTACAAATTGAAACAGAGGAGAGAGTAGAGGGTAATTGTCATTTGGGGCTATGCTTTAATTACCTTATTTCTACCGGGTTTCCCAAGTCACCCATAAAGTCAACATACATATTAACAAACTATCCTCTACATGTTGGTAGCCATCTCTTTGTAAAATTTCATAACGAATATTTTGTAAATAAAGACACTTACCTACAATTTCCCATTTCCCCCATGTATGGTAACTTTATGTGTGACTTTTGGAACACTCTATACTTCCACCGACTTGCTGACCACTTTTCTTATTCTTCTGAGGAGACTAAAGCATCCTTGAAGATTTACTGCTATTTTAGTAGCAATGTGTCTTATGTTTGCAGAAAAACCTGAAAATCAGACAGGCTAGAAAATAACAATCATTTCAAACCAGAGACAATGTGTTTTTTTTTTTCTCATTTATTCAAATTCACTGCAGGAAGTAAACACTAAAAGATTAAAAAACAAAAAAAAATTCACACTGCAGTATGTACAGTTTCATGACATAACATGAAGAAATTAAATTTCTAATAAAAACGACAAATTATATGACTGAGCAGATTGCATCAAAATTGGTTGTGTAAACCCCAGAATTCTTACTATGAATGGTAATGTGCTTGTATTCCAGCATTTGCTAATTCTAGAATACTTCTGGTATGTTTCCAATGGCATTAGAAAGTCAGGAAAGTAGTTGACTTGATTTAAAAAAAAAAAAAAGTTTTTAAGACCCTTGGATTCAAAGCACATTCTTTCACAAAGCTTAAACCACAGAAGTCATGTCCAGAAATGGAATACTGTCATGTCGGGATGAACATCTGATCGGATTTGTTAAGACATTTTGCCAAATGCACAGATGCACAGGGTCCCCCATGCACTTTTCATGCAGCAGGTAATCACAACTTAAATAAAAGGTTTTTTCTATACATTTGTCCAGACTTGCAACTGTATACATACATGCACAAATTTTAAACCTGTCTGATTATATTTACACTTATACATGGAATATACAGGAACCAAAGAGATTAAAAGACTTTTCTGTTGCATTAGAACAATACAAAATATGTATTTTTCATTAAGGAAATCACTATTTACATCACCTTTAAAAACCGATTTTAACATCTTCATGTAACAAGTCAATATATATATATACATGTTATATATATATATAAAATATATTCTCTCACCAGTTTACTCTTCTGTAAGATGCAGCAGAGAATAAACAGGTAACAAATGCTACCTTACTGATGTCAATGAGAGCTGTAGTACCCTTTTGCAAATGACTTTATTCTGCAGAAATGGTCTAGTATCGAAAATAGTCCTTGAAAATGTGTGTATGTGCATCCTTGTATCTACATATGCAGAAACAGAAGTGAATTTGTGGATGTATGCCCTTTTCTCACTGTTCTTTACAATCATCCAAAACTCAAATTGGGAACATTCTCTAGTAAATCAGAACACTATTCTTTGTGGTCACATTTATTTATGTAGTACGTATTTTCATTCCTTTAATTAACAACAAAAACAACCAATCAAAAAAAAAAAAAACCCAAACAGAAAACCAACCCAAAAAGCAATGCTGGCCCATGATGTTCTTTTCTCTAAAGAACCTAAATTTCACCCCCTTTTATGAATCCCCTTTACCCCTTATCAAGGGAGAATACCCACATTTTTTTCTGACGTACCTCTAAGGCTCCAGACCTTTCACAATGACTGAGAAAAATGACTTGTTTAAAAGCTTACTTATATAGTATTGACAGTAAGATTGTCAGTTTATGGATACGGAGTAGAGCACGATCACTGGTCAGTGGAATTTCACTTCAGAATAAGCATATGCTTCACCTCTCCATGATGTAGCATAATACTCACTGCTGATTATTATTGTATAATATCTCCAGTAATTTTTTACAAATCATTTTGAGGGAAAAAAAAATAATCACTTAGGAAGGTTTTAGATCATACTAGGAAATTACACCCATTTTTAATATAAAAAATCTTAGAAACAATTCAAGTACGATGACTTTAAATGAATGTCCTTCTAACAACAGTGATCACATAATAATTTTTGATAGGTCAGTTACCAATCTGATTCACAGTTAAAATCAAAAATATTACCTGGCAAATGAATTGTGCCTTGTAAAAATTGAACTTAAAAACAGACTTGTTTCAAGATCAAAACCCCATGTGGCTCAATAATACATTAAGTTTTCTAAGACAATATCAATGTTTACTTTTAATCACTTGTTTAAAATAATACACCCAATGGAATGATCGTGTATAATTCTGTCATGTACATTTGCCCTTTGCACTTTTTTGTTTAGTCAATCTGAGTTTAGTTCCTTTCTTGGGTTTGAACTGTTTTAATCTTTGTCAGCACTGGTCTTACTTAGGACAATGGTTTTCATAGACGTGAAGGATGTATTCAGGAGAAGTTTCCAAATCATCCTCGAATCACCTGAGTTTGGTAAGTGGCCCTGTTATTCCATCCCTAAGGCTAATTAAGTAGATGTTACTCATTAGAACACATAAATAATCACAGATTTTCCTGAGAGTTGAGCCAGATATGAAAGTTGTCCCCTCCACCCAATTATTTTGTCATAAAAAGTATTCTGAACCCAATTTTCAAAGACACAACGGTAATAATATGAACTATAATACTGTAAATTTTAAGCTGATGTGTAACTGTACCGGGGAAAATACAGGCATCAAATAGTTGTTGTTTTTTTTTGGTTTTTACAGTCCTCCATGTTCTGAGAAAAGTCACAAGCAGTGGTTTCTCAAACTTCAGTGTGCAGAAGACACACCGAAGGAGCATGTGAGGGTGCAGATGGCAGACTCCCAGGTTCACTGAGCAGAGATCCTGGTTCTACAGATCTGAGATGCCAGTGAATCTTCATTTTAAAACAAATGCTCCAGATGATTCTAATGCAAGTGGTCTGAGTCTGGCTTTAAGGAATCCTGGTCATGACTCATAGCTACCACAGGAACGGTGAGAATTAACTTTTACAAGAGATGGTGAAAACTGTCTAAAGAAAAACCATTTTGTTTCTGTTGTTAAAAACAATTTCTTAAATATTCAACTATTCAGAAAACCACCTGAAGATAAATGTTAACTTTCCTAATTCTGTAAAAGGAGGAGTATCAATTTAGTAAAGTAGTTAAAATACAAAAATCTGCCTTTTTTTTTAAGGATCTATCAAACTTCCCTCAATTGTAATCAAATTTTATTAAGTAGTACAAGGTTTAAAGACGTGTATATTGAAAAGGACTTTAGTGGGGCAGACACATTGGGAACCATAAAACCACTTCCAAGAGTTAAAAATAAATATTTTTTTTAGCAAAAGTGAAAAATGTAAGCACATGTATTTCTAATTTATTTTTAAATTGGATAATGAGATGTGAATCAGCATTAGGGTTTTTCTTCAATAATTATCTTTGAAGAGTTATTGAACAGTTTGGGTTTTAAAAAAATGTTATGTAGGCTGATGTCTGAAAAGCAAAATGAAGTACCCTAATAAAGGCAGCAAAATGCATTAATCCACCATGGATGGAGTTTTACCTTTTAATTTATGCCTGTTATATGATTATAAAAGAATTTCATTCATAGGCTACTCACAGTTGTTATCTGATGCATACAGAAGTGTTAAACAACCAATTGCTAGTTCAGTAGTTTTTCTCATGACATCTAATGTTAAGCAAAAATTAGTATGCATATTTAAACATCACCAGTAACCAATACTTTTCAAAATGAAAAAAGTTTCAGTTATACCATGCTTTTCTCAAATCATGCTCTTATTTATACAGATCTCAAGTTCATACTAATTAGTTTTTAAAAGATCCAAATCTGGATGGCAGGTACATTTCATTCTGATTCTTTTTTTATTGTTAGCACGTTTCCCAGAAGTCCGTAAACTTCTCCATTTGCACTGTGTGGGCGAGAAGCATTATTTCCCATATGGCTATTGTAAGGGCTTCTTAAATTAAAGAAAGCTTTAGTTTCTGCAGCAGGAAGTAACTCCTCTTTGATTGTAACCTGTGAGACACTTTCAGCAGACGAAGGCTCCCTCCAAATGTCCTTGTCCTGTGTTTCTCGACTGGTAACAGAATTGCCTCCTTTCTGGAGCATATAATACAGTATTGGGTTAGTTTTGGTCAGTCTCGGAGAGTCTTTTTCATATTCATTCTTATCCACGTCTGTGATAACCCACTTAATGGGCCCTTTCTCACTGGGCATGGAATACCCATTCAAATGCCCAGATTCTGGTCTAGGCAGACCCAAGTGTTCAGGGAAAGGAGGGCTCATGGGAGTTTTTACTACTCCTGGGTATGAAAATGTCCTGTTATCCACGCAACTGGTAGGCTGAGTGGGGCTGTACATCAGTCCATTTAAAGAAGAAATGTTGAACTCAGGTTTGCTATTGGTCACATTATTTTTGTGTCCTTTCTTTTTACTGTCGACGACAGGGTTACTTCTGTGTAGGGACAAATCTCGCACGCAATTTTCTGAGAGAAGCAGCTGTTTCAGAACATTGAAGCTTTTGCTCTCTCTGGCCCAACTCCTGTGTTCACTTTCACTGGCGGAACCATGACCAGCAGGATATTTAAATTCAACATCATTTCTGCTAAATTTCAGCTCTTCCTGGTTAAGCAACGATCCGTACAGTACTTCTGGAGCACTGTGATTGTTTGCAGTGTCAACAATGTTATTTTTCATCTTTTTAAATGGATTCTCTAATGGCTCAGTATAAAGCTTCCTTTTCTTCGGGACCATGCAAAGATTCTTTGATTCTAGAAGTGTCAGTTCATTATTTCTGTGACTCTTGTCTGAATCATCCACCAGGTAACTCTCTTGATTTTGTCTCAGCAATCGACTTAACAGACCATTCTTTGAGAACGAAAAATCCTGAGGTGAAACAGGCTCCGATTTAAAGTCCTCGGACACTGGTAAGGCAGCTGTGCTTCTCTGCACAGTGGGAGCCACACCTAAGAATGGGGCACTCTTAGCATCATGGCTCAAGTGCACATTTGTATTATGAATATGTAAGTCATCGCAAGGCTCAGATTTTATTTTCACCATGAATATCTGTTCACTTAAAGCTCTATCTGTATGTTCCTGAGTACTTTCATCTCTTAGAGGAATTTTCTCTTTCTTTTCACTCTTACCTTTGTTGGGGTTTCCCAGGAGCAACTGGAGGACAGTACGTCTTTCAAGCAGATTTTCTATTTCAGAACCAGAAAGCCCTGGTTCAGGAACTGTAGGTGGACTACTGAATGCTTTATGTTCTTCAACTGCATTTGTTTTATTTGAGAGCAGAGGGCTATTTAATCTGTCAATCATACCTACAGGTTTATCTGTGTTTACACTTAACAGCTGTTTGCCGGGTCTTTGCTCTTCCAGGGACATTGAAGACTGCATTCCACACTGCGCTAAATTTTGTAACAGTTTACTGGCACTGAACGTTGCAGAGTTTTGCGCACCTTCATTTTGGGGTGGTTTCTCTCCTTGTGACTCTTTGCATTTAGTAAGGTCAACTGAATGGTTAGATGAAGTGTTAGTTAGCTGAGTACTGCAGGCATATGGTGGGGAATTCCATTTGATGACCAGAGAGTGTTGAGAGAGATTGATGGGAGACTCTGCTTTGGCTGATGTAGGTAAGGGTGGAGTGCTCACTGGAGTAGTCCGATTTGCACTGGGGCTTTCTATTACAGAAGTCCTCGTGTAATTTTGTGTACTGAACTTGGTCACATCATTGTGTACTCCCTGAGGGCTGGCATTTTTTTCAACATTTTCTTCATTCTTATGGCCAAGTAGCAATTGAAGAAGTGTAACTTTCTGATGTGAATTGAGCTTAGAATTCTTTGAGGTATCCAGATCTTCTTTGATATCTACTTCTGGGACTTTTGGATCCCAAGTGTTTAGCAAGGACTGAGTTAAGTTATCTAGAGAAACGGGTGGTTCAGCTTCTGGTTTTTCGATTCGGTGTTTGCAAGACAAGTCTATGGGAGCACAATTGGAATAGGAACTTTCATCACCACTGCTGTCATCTGTAAAGCTAGGATTGTTATCTGAATATTCATCAATAGTCATACGCGCACTGCTATCCTCAAAAATGCTGCCTCTCTCACCGTGACTGTGTCCATTCACTGGCTTAGGTATAGTCTGGCTTTTAAGGAGATGTAAAAGCAAACTATTATTAGCAGCCTGTTTGATATTGTTTCTTTCCAGTGAGTTCTTGTAGCCTGCATTTTTGGGAGAAGAAGGAACGACACCCACTGGATTTGGAAATGCTGTAGCACTACTTTTGCTGCCCATTAGTCTGCTCGATGATGTTCTCGCCTGACCGTTAAGCTGGCCCGACATTCCTTTTGAGAGCTGGAAACTGCCAACTTCCTTCTGACCATTTTCTTGCAATCTGGCCATAGCAGCAAGTCTTTCACTGGCTGCTTGATTTGCATTTTGTGTTTTTAAAGCATGTTCCCGAGAATACTGCTGCAAATGGGCTTCGCTTGAAAGGAGTAATGCTAACTGGCTACAAGCAACACTTGGCTTAGGGGAGGTGGCAGGACTAGCCCTTTTTTCGACCATGCTTGCAACAGCCTGTAATCTCGCAGCACACGACAAGGGTTCACTCACAACCTTTGTCCCACTCTGTCCAACATGATGAGGTGACTCTATAAACCTATCTCTGATGAGATTTTTAGTTACATCAGGAAGATTGGTCTCAGGTTTTTGATCTTTAGCTTTACTTTTCTTCAATAAGGTTTTTAAGTGACTTGATGCAACACCATAGCACCTCAAATCCTTCTCCACTTTTAAGGAATCGTGACTGAGGGCATATCCTTGCTCCTTGAGGCTCTGCCTAATTTGTTGTGACAGAGCAACAGTCTGCAGCCTCGAGCTGAATGACTGAAGCAGAGAGGCCAGTAATGTGCTATCCTGTTTGCCTTTAGGCACATTGTCGACCATGCCAGCTAGCAAAGCTTCCTTCTTTACGTTTAAATTCACGATAGAATCAGACAGCCTCTTCCGCTTTGCTGCATTCCAGTCCTCAGAAGACTGCAACAGTCTGGCTTTTTTGAGATGCAGAATGCCAGATCCCTGGTATGTGTTTGTATTGAGAACCGGACCATTATTTTGACAGGTGGGAAACGCGCTGCCAGAAATGTTAAAGTTCTGATCTTCTTCATTATGCCCAGCAGACTTTTTGTCGACGGCAGTGCCTGATCCCCCTGCTGCCTGATGCATTAGTAATCCTTCTAGGTAAGTTAAAACAATAGAATCCTGGTGCACATCAGAGCCAAGCTCTTCTCCATGAGTCATGTTCAATACAAGTGTTCACAAGGGCTTGGTTTCTATTCACTTTGAAGAATGGTTTTCTGTTAGTGAATAAGATGGAATTTTAATAAGTGAGGGTCCATGTATCACCTTCCATAGCAATCAGATACAGATGTACTGTTATATTCCGACCAAGATTTCTTCTGGCAACGACAAGACAAAGGCAGGCAAACTCCAGTGCTGACTGTCTGACCACAGAGCTGATCGACTTCTAGGCAAGAAACAGAAGAATTCCTTAAAACATAGGTCTTTAGCAGTCAGCAGATGTAATCCTTACTGAATATATTGCTTTTCTTTCTTCATCTTTTGTTCCCCATTAAATGCAAATATCAGTGTTCTAAAAAAAAATAAATAAGAAATAAAAATAGTTAAGAAGGTACAAAACTAGGATCATGTTATGATACCTAAATCAAAACAGCACAGCATTTGTCATTTTATACGTATATACTATACACATAAATAATATGCCTATGTATGCAGTACAGTCACTTCTTTGGTAATTTATTTATTGCCGTTCCTCTGAAAATATCTCCTGGAAATCCTATGTTAATCCCTATTAACATGATCAAATCACTTAGAGAAAAGAAAATACTTTATATAACTATTTTCCAAAGCCCACTGTATTTTTGAATTTTCATACACACCTCCTTCAAAGTAATATGAGTGCTAGTCTCCTTTATTAGACAACTAGAATTAGCTTCCTCACCTTATGGGGCACTTAGGAAGAAACAAACGTAGATGTGCAGAAAAAAGAAAGCAAAGCATCTGACAGGACTCGTATGAGTCCCACGTGGGGGTGAGGCCAACAGAACAGAGTCACTTTGACATCATGCCCCAAACACCAGATATTTTGTAATTTTTAGAGTTTCTGTCTTCGAAAAACCAGAAGCAGTAATCAGTTTAGGATTATTTTATAAGCATGTACAAAGTATGACAGTCTTAATCATCTTCATAAACATTGAAATACAGTCAGAGTTTATCCACCTATAGTTTTTTATCAGGACTTATTAAAGACAGAGAATTATTCTTCAGGTGCTCTTTCAGGGGTATCAAAGGTTTATCACATTTTTAAAAAATCCTTATCCGTGCGCTCTCTGTAGGACTTTTAATGTCAGGTCCATTCCTTATAGACACAGAGAACAGAACATTACTATATACATGAAGTACACTGAGAAATGTCAGGAGACCTACTACTCGGAATTTGAGTAACAGTCTACTGCTATTTATCTAAGAAAGTACCAATTTTCTATCACCAGTCCATATGCAATTGAAGAAGCAAGAACTCACTGCTTTTCTGAAAATCTGTTAGGTAAGTTTTTGTCAAAATTCATCTAAAGAAGGGAGCCATTACATTTTTGGGAAGAAAAACTAGAATGATTTGTTTTTCAAGATGCTAGAACATGTTGTCCAAGTTATTAGATTCCCTCCGTTCTGTCAAGAACTATCTTAATTGTCATGGAACTGAAAAAATGAATTTTAATTTAAAGACTGACCTGTAGCATTTTGGGTGAAGGGCTTAACAGAAAGTCAAACTTTAAGAAAGAACTATTTCACTGTATTATTAGATTTATTCATTAAAAAGATAAAAAAAAAGATAGCCCAAGAACAAGAGAAAGAGGTAACAGCAATTAAGTAAGGTGCAGGTGTGTAAGGAGCAGGTTAATAAGGGACTTTCTTGAGATTCCAAATCCACCCTTTTTAAAAGGTCTCTAAGCTTTGCCATAGTGTACTTTAAGAAACATCAACATTTTAAGAGATTTATAAATCCAAAATGAAATGATAATTACGTTAGGCCTGCTGACTACCACCTAATCCATTTTCCCTTACTAATAAAACTCTGATTTGTTTTTCAGGGAGTGGGGAAGTAACCCAACCACACACATGACTTTTGTCCACTGGTATCTATTTTATGATTGAGGACAGGTTGCTTAATTAAAGGAGGCGTGTTTTTCTTTCTTAGTGTTATAAAAATAATGGTGTGTTTTAAACTGACAACATCTTAGAACTGAGCAAACAGGGTTTTAAAATTCTCTTAAAAACTGTTAATACAGCATTAATTTTCAATTGCTTAAAGCACTTAACAACCATTTAATGGGATATGCAAATCCATTGTATTTCTCTCCATACCACTACCAATCTTTTGGTTCTTGAGTGGTAGGGAAAAAAAATCAGTCAAAAATCACTTCAGCCATTTCATATTTGATTTGTTGGTAGCCTTAAAAAAAAAAAAACTTCATTGAGCATAAGAATGAAATAAGGTTACTGGAGCATCTTTGGGTTCATATTATTCATGCTATTTCTCCTTCACATTTTACTACGAATGAAACTATGCAAAGTATTATTCATTGCTTTAAAAAGACTGTCTTTACAAAGTAGATCTGGAAGTTGATTCTGAAAAATTACCATAGTTTCTCTGCAAAGGGGCTTCAATGCTACATTTTTCCATTTATTTATTTATCATTTATTTTGTACAATAACAGAAACTAGATGACAAGAGAGTAAGAATCATTTCTTAAATAAGAAAACAGACTCAACTTTTGACTTTAAGAACACAAAATGACATACACAAATAATTTCATTAAGTTCCTTAGGTCTGAGGCCTCTAAAAATTATAATTAGTACAGTGCAACACACTTAATATATAACTGAATCTTATCAGACATTAAGTTATTGAATAACCAAACTGCTAGCAGAAGGAAGGCATTTTGATATTCAAACACACTCATGCCCTCTCTCCCTCTGAAAATACAGATTATACGAGAAGCTAAAATAACTACAATCACAAAATTGAAATCATACAGTCTAAGTTCATCATTGTAAATCAAAGAAATGACAAAGCAAAGGTCACTCTAAATATTCAATTTATTCATTTCATTTAAATCAATACAAAAAACTCTTACTGAACTCCCAGTCTACTTGGAGATCTGTTCTGGAATTGGTGATTTAAGTTTATTTCAAAAGGGGGATACCACAGGCAACATTTAAAGGATAAGCAAGGTGAGCCTGTACCTTTAAGATTCTAAAATATTCTTCATGTAAAATTATCTCCTCCCCACGCTATCCCTTTTCACATGACTTTATTACATCAGTAAGTACAAATGAATTTTTTTGAAGTGATTGAAAAATATTCTTAAGATTTTTAAATCAAAATTATAAAACAAAAATTTTTACTTAGGAAAATGTGGCTAACATAGTACGTATAACTATGTGTATACAATATACATAGTTATATATGTGTTTTCTTTTAGAAAAGGGGGCAAGAAACAAATTTAGAATAGATTTGAAGGGAATGTGAATGTATTGCTTTAAAAAAATTCTAAGTCAAGGTGGATATTTTTCATTAATTTATCTGAAAAGAAATCCTATAAAAGTACCAACTACACACAGCAAGGGAGGAAAATGAATTCACGAAAACTTGTTTTTTTGTGAAGATGAATCTGTGAGTCAAAGGTCATGTCTACTTGAAGAGGCTGCTTCAAGTGACTCTTAGTGATACCACCTACCAACATTCTGCCAGAAAATGCAAAGCCTAAGAAAGCAGGAACTCAGAGAATACTTTAAGCCTGATTTCACTTAGCCCCTGCTATTGAATGCTATGGAGGCAGCAGACACAGCCACATTTCTTCAGATCCTTTCCTTCTCTATCCCTGAAAGACATTAACGATGCTTTCCACCTTTTCAAGTTTTAGCTTTGCATTTCTACAGTACAAAACCTAGTGAAGAAATATAGAAACAAAGACAATGAAGCATGATATCTGGATATATATAGTCAAGTTTGTGAGAATCTATAGCTATTAGGATATGATGTGACATATGACCACCTCCTAATATTATAAATAGATGACATAAGGTTAAAAATGTTACTTAAAGTTATTCAGCATTAGTATGATTCATTTACTTTCTTTCAGTAAAAGACAACTATATTCTTCTTGAAGCAACAATGTATCTTACCTGGTTTTAAGTACGTACTATTTAAAAATGTTGCCAGGTTTATACTTGAGTATATCCAGTTACAAATACACATTTAAGAATTGGGCTTCTTGGGTGACACCCATAGCTGAGTGGGTAGGGCACCAGCCATATACACTGAGTTTGGAGGGTTTGAATCCATCCCGGGCCAGCTAAAACAACAATGACAACTGCAACAACAAAAAAGAGAAATAGCCAGGGGTTGTGGCAGGCGCCTGTGGTCCCAGCTACTTAGGAGGATGAGACAAGAGAATTGCTTAAGCCCAAGAGTTTGAGGTTGCTGTGAGTTGTGATGTCATGGCACTCTACCCAGGGCAACCACTTGAGACTGTCTCAAAAACAAACAACAAACAAACAAACAAACAAACAAAAAAACGACAGCAAAAGAACTGGGTTTCTTTAGGGATTTGTAAACAATATATTTTAAAACTGGAATAGTTTATAAACAATAAAAGAATTGGGCTTCTTTAGGGATTTGTAAACAATGTATTTTAAAACTGGAATAGTTTATAAAATACTGTGATATGCAGTTTGTCATTTCCCCAATATCAACAATGATTTTACTAGAGCTTATGTATGTGTCTGTCTGAAGATACTCAACATTTTCTTAATAAACATAATAAAAGGGAGATTTGACTTGTATGCAGACACTTGTCAAATGATTTCTGAGTCAAGGGAGCATAAATTCCAAAATTCAGTTTATGGATGAGGCGAGTAACCGAAGGGAATAAAAGCACTGAAAGGACAGAAAAGAATAAGAAAAATACTAAGAATGGATGAAAATCTCATAAATTGTACCTCTCTCATGAGGTTTTAGTGGAAAAAACGTAGTTTAGAAACTCAAATAGACTATATTCCTAACTTGCCTTTAAACTTTAGGATGGTAGATATGACAAGAAAAGGAAAGAAAGATTTCTTTAATGAACATTAAAAATGTAGAAGACAACCCCTTGGCAATTGCAGCAATACAAAGATAAATATATGGGACACACACCCAAGCTAAAAAGCTTCTACACAGCTAAGGGCACCACAATTAAAGCAAATAGACAACTTTTGAAATGGGAGAAGATAACTGCATGCTATAAATCTGACAAAGGGCTGATAAATACAATCTATAGAGAACTCAAATTAATCAACAAGAGCAAACAATCCCATTTACAAGTGGGAAAGAGTTTTGAACAGAAACGTCACCAAAGATGACAGACAAATGGCCAACAAACACATGAAAAAATGCTCATCTCTAATCATTAGAGAGATGCAAATCAAAACCACCCTAAGATATCACCTAACTCCAATGAGATTAGCTCACATCACAAAATCCAACTGTGCAGATGCTGGCGTGGTTGTGGGGTTGTGGAGAGAAGGGGA